ATGGCCGCCAAAGCGACCTCTGAGGGCTCCACGCTAGCCTCTGGGGGCTCAGCCTTGGCCCCTAAGGGCCCTACGCTGGCCTATGAGGGCCATCAAATGGCATTTTAAGATAGTTTGACGCAGTTTGACCCTGAAAGCTACTGGTGGCCCTTCATAGGCCGGCAAGGGACCCTCAGAGGCCGGGAGGCCCTCAGAGTCGCTGGTAAGTGGTCGTCAGATGCGCTGGCCTAGGGCCCTCGGAGGCGCCAGAGGCGCCTCAGAGCCACCGAAGTAGGCCCTTAAGAGGCACTGGTGTGGGACCCTTAGAGGTGGCAGTGAAGGCCATCAGAAACTGGTGTGGACCGTGGGGCCATAACAAACGGGTATGGGGCCCTTACAGCTGATCCCTGATTGGCCGGCAACGGCCCTCAGAGGCCGGCAAGGTCCCTCAGAACCCGGCGTGGGGCCCTTCTGGAGATAAGTGTGACTACACAAGAGACCATGGGGTGTTCTCACAAGCCCTGTGGTGTTCTTTCCAGTTGAAGCGTGGCCAGCGCGAACCCTCTGCTGCCAATTGGCACCGCAGGGTCCCTCGAGCCCGAGGGGACCCTAAACCTTATAACGGACATGTGCCCCTCGCCCCTGGCTATGCAGTTGAATCCAAGTGATCAGGGGCTATTCAGGTGATCAGGGGCCTCTCAGGTGACCAGGGGCCTTTCAATTGACCAGGGGCCCACCAGGTGACCAGGGGATCTTCTGATAACCGGGGGCCGGTTATACCAGGAGCTCCACGGGTATGTACCTAAATGCCTTCATGTGACTGCAGGGGCCCGTCATATAACCAGGTAATCCCCGGGTAAACATGGCCCCTTGGGCGACCAGGGTTTCTTCAGGACACTGGCCAGGGGCCACCCAAGGGATCAGAGACCCCTCAGGTAGCTGGGGGTCCCTTAGATAACCAGGGGCCCCTCAGGTAACCAGGGGCCCCTCAGATAACCAGGGGGTCTCAGGTAATTACGGGCCCCTTAGGTAATCAGGGGGCCCTCAGATAACCAGGGGCCCCTTAGGTAACGCAGGGGCCCCTCAGATAGCCAGGGCCCCTCAGGTAATCAGGACTCCTTCAGATAACCACGGGCCCCTCAGGTAACCAGGGCCCCCTCAGACAACCAGGGGTCTGTCAGATAACCACGGACCCCTTAGGTAGCCAAGGGCCCCTCAGATAACCAGGGGCCCCTCAAGTGACCAGGGGCCCCTCGGGGCCCCCGTGGCCCCCCTTAGGTACGTCACTGCACTCAAGTGACCCAAAGGGCCCACTTGCATGTTTGATGCCAAAGGGGGAGGCCATGGCCTCTTGGCCTCCCCCTGGATACGCCACTGTGAACAGGGCTTTCTGTTCTGTTCTGCTGCGGTTTTTGTTTTGAGTGAATGAAAAACGTATTTTAGATGACGCAATGCTGTTTGAAATTGAAGTTTGCTATTGCTTGACATTATTCATGTACACAACCACATAAAGTTACGGTGAACATACCAAATAAGTGCGGAGAAAACAGCGATGAATACTTTGTCGTACGTTTCAGGTGTTCCTTGTTGCCGCCGTGCTGGCCGTAGCTGCCGCCGATTCTCCGGCTCCGTACCACCCGGCTCCGGCCTACAAGCCGGCTCCCTACCACCCGCAGACCCAGTACAAGGAGGAGGCCAGGCCGTTCGCCTTCGACTACGCCGTCAACGACCACTACACCGGCACCAACTTCGCCCGCAACGAGCAGAGCGACGGTCACAATGTGCAGGGCTACTACTCGGTGGTTCTGCCCGACGGCCGTACCCAGCACGTCAAGTACACGGCTGACCACTACGGTGGATACAACGCCGAGGTCACCTACGACGGAGAGGCCGCCTACCCCGAGCAGCACTCTGCCTACAAGCCGGCCCCCTATAAGCCGGCCCCCTACCACCCGGCCCCTGCCTACAAGCCGGCCCCCTACCACCCGGCCCCTGCTTACAAGCCGACCCCTGCCTACAAGCCAGCTCATTATTAATTCATTGAGTCACATTTTAGGCAGCGAATGATTCGAGAATGAGATATTTATCATGATTTGCTAACGTGCTGTAAATAAATGTCAGTCATGTCCATCCCTGTGTTTAGATGTTTAAATGAAAAGGATCACTATTCAGCAGGTATAACTGTATTCTTATTCGTATATCCATGCATTCATTCATAAATGGTGGGCTTATGTACAGTTGAGGAAGGGTGAATAAGTAGATTGTTTGCACGAGACCGAAGGACATAACGCCACTCATAAGGCGAAATCGGCCAAACTATACGTCCAAACATCGGCTCACACGAGTGTAGTTTCTGTCCAATTTACCGATCACCAGGCAATCGACCGGCACAAAACGGTATGTCGAAGAATAAACGGGCTCTGAGCAACACAACCGCTAAGTAACATAAACAAGCCCTTTGCGACGCGATGCAAGCAATACAGACGCTTGTTATATGCTAAAGCATTTACACTGCAGACTTAACTATCTGTTGCCCATAGTATTGCACGCATGCGAAACCAATAACAAAAATTAGGGTAGGGTGGGTAATTGGAACATGTGGGACAATATGAAGATAGTATGAATATCACAAAATAACGGAAAAACCATAACTAACACGACAATAAGACCAACGAGGGAAATTATCGTAACTAAAAGGGCTATCATATGAACGGAGTTTAAAGTTTTAGGGAATCAAGATGTTGACCACACTGCACAAAATCAATTTCGTAAGTAAAAACGCCCAACAACACGTCATCGCAACTTCGCTGCAGTGCTAAATCTTACATTGCTAGCGCCTAATACGCAACGGCTTTTGTTGTTCAATGAACTAACAAGTGCCATCAATCCCAGAAATTTGCTTTTGCTTTTGAAACGATTTTAAATATGGCTAAATTCATTTTAGCGTGGGGTAATTTGAACACAGTGTGATAACTTCAATGAAGACAAGGATAGCTCCGAAAGAACAACGCTCCTGTTTTTGTTTTGTTTTGTTTTTTTTTTGCCAGTATTTCGACCCAAAGCAGTAGCAGATAATATGCAAATTTAAAAAAAATGTCTAATATCCATCCAATGTCCGTGCTAGCCATCGTTCCTCTGGCGGTTATCGCCAGTAGTTATCCGCATAGAATACACGTGGACGTGTGGGAAGGCGAGCAAGGACCTCGGTCTTAAATATCTATTTACTCAAGACTAGTTTGTTCAGTAAGACGCGACTTAATAGCACCGTTCGCTGTCATGGAAACACATGGTTGCAGCCACCACTAGACGAAGCATCCTGTTATAGTTTAACCCTCGCCCGTATTGGCCTTTTTACAGCGTCTAAGGTAGGGGGGGGGGGGGAGGGTCCGTAGGCCCTCTCCTACCATTCGGCCCCTGATTGAGCTAGAGCTTCGCGAGCTTGCTGCCCGTTACAAGAGCAAGCCGATGATACCCATTTTTAGAGTTCTAGGCCATTGGCTGACCTTCCAGGTTAGGTCAAAGACCCAAAAGTCGGGGAAATCGGGACCTGCTAGAATTTCGTACAGTGTGATTGTTACGGTTTTGGGGGCGTTGATCACGTATTTCGTGTTACATAATTTCTTCATGCATTTAGAGCATGAGTGAATTCGCCACGGGCCGCAAAATCCCAGTCCAGCTCAGCCCAGGCCCATAGGTTCACAGCCCGGCCCAGCCCGAGCCCATTCATGATTAAAGCGTCAAAGCCCAGCCCGGCCCAGCCCGTCAAAAATGAATGGATTAAAAATTATTGACACCACACAGGTATTCAAAGGTAGCAAAGAAACCATCTTTTTCGAGCAGCATGCACAATGCACATTGCATGCGTGCTTTATGAACTCGTTTTTAAGTCTTGCACAGTAATAAGCTATAGGTAAAGTTATAGTTTTTGTCTCAGTTGCGAACCCCTGACTCCACTTTACAGTTCTTGGCCCAGCTATCCACAGCTTATCGATCCCTAATATTTGAGGGCCCAGCCCAGCCCGTAGCCCAGCCCAGCCCAGCTCATGGCCCATTGGGCTGGCCCGGCCCATGGCGAACACTGATTTAGAGATTATGTATGTTGTAGGTCGAGCCAGGTCGGGTCAGGTCAGCCAGCAGGCATTCTGCCGACTATCCATAGTAGGTGTCAACCACCACTGACAGATAGGAAACATGTTACGTAGACTCTACAACTATACTTCGTGAATATTCAAATGGGCGCTAAATTTGAAGTCAGCTCCTAAAGTTATCACAGGAAGATGTAAAGCTCGAATAAGTGAACTTCATCTAAGCTCAGCGACCGTGACCTGACCTTGACGTGGAAAAAACGGATAGTGATTTTATACGAGTATGGTGGCGGGAGTAAGGTTTGACAGCTACGCCAGGCTGACTGTCTGTGTGTGAAGTGACCTTGACACTAACTATAATGCATGGGCCAAACATCATTTCGCATATTTGAGCGTGTACAACCACAAAAAGATTGGAAACGCGAGGATAAAGTGAGCTGACATACGTCAAATCACGATTCCGAGCAAAACATAGCCTCGAGAAACAAGTCACAGGTCGAAGGTAAACTGGGTCAAAGTCATTAATTTTTTAGGGTAGGTGTAAACATAATCAAATCAAGGGTAATAAAAGTTTCGTCGCGATTGGCCGCTTCTTAGCATGAGTTATTTGCGAAAAACCTAGGAAGGGGTTCCGTTCGACACCCCTCCCCCGATCACTGTGAAGGTTAGGCGCCAGTCAAACTTTGATTTGAGCCCAAATAAGAGCGTGCTATTGTTTTCGTATACAAATAAAAACATCGGGCAAAAAGTTAGCGGCCTGTGTTGTTAATTCCACTTTAATAAAAGAAAACGATTAACCAAAATTAGCCCTAAATTTGTAGAAATAATGACTGAAATGTCACTTGTTGCACACAAAATAAATAATATCCCAATTTTGAATCCTCAATTGGCTCTGAAGTAGTGTCTTGAACTTTTACCTATATATTGTCTCCAATTGGGGTCAGCGGCATGCAAAACTATATGAGTCACCGTCCACCATGACTTATATATCCTAATCAAGCGTAGTATCCTTGTGCTAATTATCGGCAGCTACATACACTATCGATCAGCTGAGCACCGTGTCAGGACCACACCCCTGTGCCGGCGTATCGCGACGCTGCGTCCGGTGGGTGGGTCAACTGATGACCTTGACCACCAAGGGTGTCTGCTCGCCGTATAAAAGGTGACGGACCGTGGTAGTCGGCACCAGTTGCTCTGCACACTCGTCCAGCAAACCAACCAACATGAAGGTGAGCTATATCCTAGATACTTCTCACATAGAACAGCACGACTCACAGTCTCTTCAAAGTTCATTGTAGATCCAAAACGTGTTCAGTGCACAAGTTGCTGGTATATTATGGTACGTACGTAGCATCATAATACCGATAAAAATTTAATGAAACATAAGAAAATTTCGGAAGCAAATAAAAGCACAAGATCAGAGTTTGTGTCTGACCTTGCTCTCCATCCTGATCTTTTCGAATTAAAGCGACATGGATGCATGCAATATTGCGTAAGGCCAAAGATGTAGGGTTACCAATACCTGTATCGTTTCTGACTGGCACAGCGCTGCTTAATTCCTGTTTTGTAATTTTGATATGTATTATAACATACACTGACACTTTCAGACCAATATATGAGATGACAAAATGTTATATTTCAGGTGTTCCTTGTTGCCGCCGTGCTGGCCGTGGCTGCCGCCGATTCTCCGGCTCCGTACCACCCGACTCCGGCTCCGTACCACCCGGCTCCGGCCTACAAGCCGGCTCCCTACCACCCGCAGACCCAGTACAAGGAGGAGGCCAGGCCGTTCGCCTTCGACTACGCCGTCAACGACCACTACACCGGCACCAACTTCGCCCGCAACGAGCAGAGCGACGGTCACAACGTGCAGGGCTACTACTCGGTGGTTCTGCCCGACGGCCGTACCCAGCACGTCAAGTACACGGCTGACCACTACGGTGGATACAACGCCGAGGTCACCTACGACGGAGAGGCCGCCTACCCCGAGCAGCACTCTGCATACAAGCCGGCCCCCTACAAGCCGGCCCCCTACCACCCGGCCCCTGCCTACAAGCCGGCCCCCTACCACCCGGCCCCTGCTTACAAGCCGACCCCTGCCTACAAGCCCGCACATTATTAATGCAGTGTTGCTTGGTCTAAGGAGTAAATGAGTTGTGGAATGTACTATTTATCGTGTTGATAAATGTATTGTAAATAAATGTTTGTATTCGCATAACATTTGTGTACTTGCATTATCTACTGTCCGAAAGCGTTCGATGGCCGTACTAAACCATAAACCGCTACGGCTTTAGAATGATTGCAAAAACTGCTTTAAAAACCATTCGTTATAATACGGTCTTCTAGAATTGATTGGTTTACTACTCGTACTCAACCATCTTAAACCGGCAGTTTCTGGGATATTTCGGCACCCATCACTTGGTGTGTGTGTGTGTGTGGAGGGGGGGGGGGGCATTAAATGCCCGGGGGCATTAAATGCCCCCAGCCGATATCTCGAGAACCAATAAGCGCAGCGAAATGGGCGAGACAGCAAAAGAAAGGACGCAACGAGACGCTCCTGATGAGTACTTAAAAGTTAAATTTAGATGTCGCAAGTCGGGTCAAGATCAGGTCAAACACCTGCCAAATTGGATTTTCAGTAGCATGACCTTAAGCACCACGTGCTTGGCATTTCTAGTCATAAACTCTGTCAGAATTGTGCAAAATCTTTATCCTAAAATGCCACGCGAGTGCTAGATTCGTGCAGGGGGCATTTAGGCATTGGTCAGGGTCAAGGTTAGGTAAATCAGGTAGGATTATAACCCCCGAAAATTAAAGTGCGCATCCGCGCACATGATATACCTATGTTTTATGGGTACTTTTAGGCGTACTATGGTGACATCCATTTTATCATGCGAGTACATTTTTGGTAAAAACGAGCTCAACTTAACGAAAACATGCACCGGGACCACGAAGTAATCACCAGAAATTCCCAAGGTTCAGTTCATATCTGGGAAAAGATAGAACAGTAATCAAGAATCGAAGATGGCCACTTCATTTCATAGACTAGCGGCAGTCTACTGGTGTTTGCAGTATGTATTTGCTTTTCTGTGATTTCCTAGGATTTTTAAAAACCAATAATGTCATATTTGGTCGAAAACCAAGTAATCATCACGCTACTTAGTACTTAAACCTTCATATCTAAAAAACTCCGATCCATTTTTTTAACGTTGCCATTATAAACTTCTATCAAATTGACCACAATTACCCAAAATTTGGCGCGCTGGCGGTGCGCCATTTTTATCCTACAGCGCAGCAAAAAAGGGAGGCATTTAACGCCCCCCCCTCCCACCGCCCCCAGTAAGTCGCTGGCTAACTTCTGCGCATGTTTTGCTTTCTGTAGCGGTAAACGTAATGTGTTCGTGAGAGTCGGTCGAATGATGATAACATTTTCTCCATGATGCAGCATTTTTGGTTGTTGGCTATTCATCCGATTAAAACTTCGGTCACCTATTTCAGCTCCCCTTCTTAGTGTTCATCGGTCCGATTGCTCAGTTGGTTTGGGTGGCTTTCGTTTATGAAGACAACTGATAGGTCTGGCAAGGATTAATATAATTCGGTGGAATCGTTGATTTTATAAAGAGCAGTGACTTAATGATGTGGAATTTTGCATTTGCATTCATGTATAACTTTGCATTTATCTATCCTTAACATAACTACTTTCTGCATACAGCATACTGCATAGTGCATACAGCTTATATGACTATGTATTGCAAATTTATAAGCACTGGGTTCAAGTTGCACGAGCATGGGCGCACAATGACCATCTCAGTCGACGCGCCCGTAAACCCTAAATGAACGAACAAGTTGCACGAGCGAACGATACTTGCGAACGATCAGTTTCCCGATGCTGAACGGTTTTTGTGTATGTTTTACTTATTTTCTTTATTTTTAGCAGCCGCGGCTACTTAAAACCTATAGGTGGGATGTCGCATGCCCGGCAATGTGAGCTTAGTGTCAAAGTCAATCCATGGGGTTATCGGAGTACTTAATAGCATTGCCTGTTAACCCAGAAGTTCACGATATGACAGAGTCTATACATCAAGTACCTATGTTTTAGTACTTATTCTTAACCCGCGCCCTGGTGGGGGGGGGGGGCTATTTTTGCCCCCCTCCAGACTTTTCGATATATCTCCAGAACCGCTGCGGCGATCGTCACCAAACTTTCAGTACCCTCCCGGACATCAACTTTACACATTGTGACCAAAATTTTTCCAAAGGCTATGATAGGTTGGCCGGAAATGACGTCAGAGTGACGTCATGTTCTGCCGTTTTCGACCCAAAAAAAGGTTTCGCGGGAAGAGCTGTCAGGCCTATAGCTTTGCAAATACAGAAAAACGATAAAACATTAAAGCTGTAGAATTGACAGGACTACAAAACTGCTATCTCGGATTTTTGAAATTTTTGGAATTTGACCCCCCAAAATAAAAAATAGATTTTTTGAATATAATAGCCGAAAAATCCAAAAAGTTTTTAGAATTTCGCAAAAACCGGAATATATGTGATAGTCCTTACCGCCTTCTATCCACATACCAAATTTGAGATTGATACATCTTTTTTTGGCGAAGTTATAGCGAAAAAAACTGTTCAAAATTGATGACGTCAAATTTTCAAACTCAATTTTTAGCAATTCTAGACCCCGTAGCGCAAAACAAAGATCACCATTAGACTCCCCGTGACAAGCTGCATCGAATCGATACCCATTTTATGCAAAACTATCAACTTTAAAATTTGACCTTTTTTGACCTGACCTTGACCTGACCTTCACCAGAAAGTGACCTAAGCCGTACCTGATAGTCTTATAACCAACAGCATTGAGTTCGAAATGAAAAATTGGCCATAAAACATGCATCGCACAACCTTAGTACCTAAAGTTAGGTTCATGTGACCTGACCTGTGACCCTTGGTGACCTGACCTGTGACCTGACCTGGTAATGTCAGTGACCTCTTATAGCAACATATGTACTAGGCAACTGACGCCCTATCGCTGATTCTCGACAAAATGCGTTTTCTTCGGTGTTATAGCGCATTCCCTAGATGACCCGTGAACGGTGAAATATTTCATTCATCTTTGACCTGACCTGTGACGTCATCGGTGACCCCGAGGTCAATGAAATTTGGTTTCCTTCGACAAATTTGACAGGCCTTTCGAACGCCGTTTGAATTTTGCGGATCCGTCCAGTAGTTACGGAGATACGAGGGGGGCAAAAAATAGCCCCCTCCCCCCCACCAGGTCGCGTTATAAACAGACCCCACCAGGGCGCGTGTTAATGCAGATTGTTTGTTCATTAATTCGTCCATCAAAATGACAATAACAATATGTGCATGAATGTTTTAAGTAAATGTCTCTTTAGTCTTTACTAAACTTAATTACTTAAAAAGTGCCCTCTAATAGTGAAGAACTAATAGTGCTCGATGAGTGTGAAGATGGTTATCAATGGTCATGCACTGATAAAACTCGCTCACTTCAAGAAAACCTAGCAGCGGCTGTGCTGTAAGGCTATGTTATGTTTTGATTTTTTTTCTAGTAATTATTTTATTAGACATCTAGGAATCAAAATTCGCTTATTTCAACTGACACTATAAGGAAAGCCATATTCTGCATTGTAATTTGCAGCTGATGCCTAAAGCTTGAAGCTTTGAAGAAGTTATGTTTGAAGTATCTGACATTAGAATTTGGTTACATTGTTTTTTTTATTTTTTTTTATATTTTTTGTAACCGAATGTATCATGAGCTAGGTATACCATAGCGGAGCTGCAAACGCGCATAAGCTATGCTTCGAAATAAGGATGTTTGAAATTGATGAAAGAAGAAAACTTATAGAGCAAATGAACACAGAGATTATAGATAGGTAACGCTAAAAGAGTAGGAATCATAGCAAGGACCTGACGGTTGCAAACTTGACCTCTCGCAGGTTGCCAAGTAGGTACCGCGCGGTGAAATGACAATGCTTAAACGGTTATTGACAATGAACGGCAGTTTAGTGTGAACATGGGGCCACACCCTCCCATCAGCAGACCGCAGCCTTGGTCACTTGCTGGGCGGGTCAGACCGTGACCTAGACCGTGAGGGTGTCCGCTCGCCGTATAAAAGGTGTCGGACCGCGGCAGTCGGCACCAGTTGCTCTGCACAATCGTCCAACCAACCAACCAGCATGAAGGTGAGCAATATATTCTAACTTATAGGTGCAATTTTATAATCAATACAATTATACATGATAGTGCTTTTGGAGTTTTATATGTTTTGGCTCTGAATGTGTATGATGATTTATGGTTGAGTGCAAAAATGGTTAACAATCCAACTATAATAGCCGTTTTCACGACGACCATCTGGTACACATCTGGTGCACATTTGGTGCAGATTAGGTGCATATTTGGTCAAATCAGGTTCAGTGTGTCTGTTACTAGCTATCAGCTAGGGTTGCGCTAATTGCTTATATGCCTGCTTTGTCATATTATCAGATACTATCATCGATGAAAACACTGAAATGAATTCATAAAATACAGATATTTGCTGTAAAAGGGATCAGGTACAGATTTGGTCAAGTTAGGTGCACTCGCCGGATAGCCCGTCGTGAAAACGGTCCCTATTGACTGTGCAAATCTGCATGTTCCAGGTGTTCATCGTTGCCGCCGTGCTGGCCGTGGCCGCCGCCGATTCTCCGGCTCCGTACCACCCGACTCCGGCTCCGTACCACCCGGCTCCGGCCTACAAGCCGGCTCCCCACCACCCGCAGACCCAGTACAAGGAGGAGGCCATGCCGTTCGCCTTCGACTACGCCGTCAACGACCACTACACCGGCACCAACTTCGCCCGCAACGAGCAGAGCGACGGTCACAACGTGCAGGGCTACTACTCGGTGGTTCTGCCCGACGGCCGTACCCAGCACGTCAAGTACACGGCTGACCACTACGGTGGATACAACGCCGAGGTCACCTACGACGGAGAGGCCGCCTACCCCGAGCAGCACTCTGCCTACAAGCCGGCCCCCTACAAGCCGGCCCCCTACCACCCGGCCCCTGCCTACAAGCCCGCCCCCTACCACCCGGCCCCTGCTTACAAGCCGGCCCCTGCCTACAAGCCGGCCCCCTACCACCCGGCCCCTGCGTACAAGCCGGCTCCTGCCTACAAGCCCGCCCCTACCTACAAGCCAGCCCCCACCTACAAGCCTGCTCAGGCCTACGGTGACGAGCATTAAGAACACTGGTTTTCGCTTGCGACATTGTACCTGACTACGGTAATGTGGGTGGCTGTGCAGTGCGTGTGTGTGGCTAAATACCCCGTGTTATTTAAAAAGAATGTATGCTGAATAAATGTGAATGGCAAATTACCAAGTGATTTGATCCGTCACGATTTCGATCAAACATGAAGAGACAGTCTCCAGATAACAAACGCCAGCTTGCACGTCACTGTCAGCAATAGCTGTTTTAATATAGGAAGGCTATTTTTCAGGCACCTATTCACGCAGTGGTTCTGACTGTGAAACGCACTTCATCGGCGGTATGTGTACGTCCATGCACCACTTGTTTTTTTTCTCGTCTGTTTCGATCGCCGACCAGCTGTTTCCTAACATGGGTAGGCGACAAGTGTATCTTGCCACATTGCAGCGTTATGATCTTGAAGTTATATGGGGCTATTTTGTGTGCAACAATACCATCGAAAAAGCGAGACTGACATTAACGGCCCTTTCAATTGATACACAGTGCATACTCAGTTAATGTGCATAAATGTATTCCATGCCGTGGTTAAACACCAATTTACGAAAACTGAACGCTTAAAAGCCCACTCACTGCACACCGAAATTGTATTGTTTCAGAGACATAAGTCGCGTTTACACAACCTTTTTGACGAGACTCTAGCTCATTTATTTTGCGATAATTTCGATCCAGTGATCTTTGTTTATTTAGAGGGGATCATTTTGTAAATTGTGAAGCACTATTGGCATCTTTTGCAACATAACGGGCGGAGCTATAAGCTTGCAACAATCCGTATGGTGGTGCCACGGTGTGGCCAAAATAGCCACGGTGTGGATGGTCTCAACAATACACGAAACGAAACGAAACGAAACGTATGTAAACGCGGCTAATAAGCGTATCAGACAATAATAAATAGTTACAGCGAGGCAGGGCTGTAGAACATCGATACATATACAGAGAAGCAGCTAGAAAGATGAAAATCACACCAGTGTGGCTATATACCAGTAAAACGCCGTTTGGGCGAAGAACGAGCGAGCGAGATAGTGAGCCCTGCACGTGCGGAAGGACGAGAGGGTTCTTCCAACGGGCTTGTGCAAAGCATCCTTCTAACCGGTCGCTAGCGGTGTACCAAATTTGAACGCAGTTGGCCCAGCCGTTCCTGAGATCTGGAAGCGGCATTCTGCACGTGCGCACGTGCAAACGGGGTCCAAACTGACTTTTGCACGGCACCCTACTAACTGGTCCCCAACCGTGAACCATATTTGAGCGCAATCGGCCCAGCTGTTCTCGAGATCTGGAAGCGCCCCCTGCACGTGCGCACGTGCAGTAGCACATTAACCGCAACACATGGGAATGCATTGCCTGGTGGGTGCCTATACCTGTATGCCAAGTTTCAGCGAAATCGCCCCAGTAATTACCGAGTTATTGAAATGGGAACAAATTTGGCACCTCTTCTTTTTGTATTTTGCACGTGCAGTGGGGGTCACTCACATAGATCAAGAGTATCTGACCTTTGGTAGAAGGGATGCAGCTACCCTACGAAAATTACTGAGACAATCGCCCAAGCGGCTGCTGAAATATGAGCCTCTCAAAATCACTACTTTTGCAAAACAACTTGAACACCCTTGACTTTTCACGTGGCACGTGCCACGACTGTCACTGAGATGTATCAAAAGTAGTCAATTACGGGGTAGAAGGGATGGGGCTACCCAGCAAAAAAGACCGCAGGCCAATCGGTCTAGCGGTTGCTGAGATATAAGCCTCTAAAAAGCGTTACAGGCCGGGCCGGGCCGGGCCGGGCCGCTCATACTGAGATTTTTCCGTTATATTGAAAAGACTCGCTTCGCTCGCTGCGCTCGCTCGCTCGTAATAATGTTTATGAACCTCCTGACGGGTTGGTTGCAGTTGATGGCAGACCGTAGGGCGAGGTCAGTGAGGGGACCGGCCGTGCGCGGTTATGTGCGCACGTTAACCTTCGCCCCAGTGGGGGGGGGGGGGGGGGGGGCATATGTTACCACCCTGTCGCGTTTTCCGCGTGTGAATAAAAAACTGCGGTGCTACGCGCCGCGCCGCTTGGGGTAGCTTTTCGCACATCAATTTTGGACAATGTGTGAAATTTTTGATCCCAGGTCATGTCAGGTCAGGTCACCAGGTCAAGTTAACTGACCAAGCCTAAAAAAAAGTTTGCAATCATGTCCAGCCTGCAGTGTTTGTCAGAAAGGTTTTAAACTTGGTGGATTGCATAATGTTATGGGCGCCTACAATTTGTATGTCTCGGATTTTTTATATCCGTGACCTAAGGTCAGGTCAGTGGCGTGACCTTACCATTATAAGTCAATGAAGAAAAATGAAAATGCCTCTAGATCCGTGTGTACGCATAGGAACAGTCCAAATATTTCAGAATCACAATGATTTGGACCACCCGTGACGACCAAGGTGTCGTTTTTGCTGATAGCCTCTAGAAAGGTCATCCGAGGTCATTTGAGGCTACAAACAGATTTTTGCCAATAACTCTCGATTGGAAAGAGATAGAACGCTGGGGATGGTCTCATTGTGTTTGTCTTGCCAAGACGCATCGACTGATATGCAACATGACCTTTTCCGGTCAGGTCATGACCTTGACCTGAGGTCAAATTTTCAAGTTGACCTTGCAAGGTCAAATTATAATTCATTCGATGCGTCTCGGCGAGAGGAACACGATTCTGGCAATAGAAATGTCGTAGCGTTTTTTAGTCAAAAGTTATTGTCGAAAAACACTTTTCGTAAAAACAGCTACTTTTGAAGTTTTTGCCCTCTGGAGGCTAAACCGTTGACCTGAGGTCAATTTTGATGATGATCTTATCGAAAGAAGAGTTCAAGAGCTATCGATTGCTTTTCAATGCGTGTTTCTAACTATCATAGTTCCTGAGATAAATGCATGTTTTTGGAAAAATATAATGACATTTGGCAAATTTTGACCTTTGATGACCTCCAGTGACCCCAATATTGCTCTAAGATGAAAAATGACCGAAATACTTTCAAACGTACACATTGAGAGCTATCGATTGCTTTTTACCGCGTCTTTCTAGCCCTCTTAGTTTTTTAGTTAGAGGTGGGTGGTAACATATGCCCCCCCCCACTAGGGCGAAGTTGGCCGAGACTGCCACTGGGGCGCGGGTTAAACTTTGGACTTCAAATTCTGCTATAGATCAGGAATTGCGCGCGATCGGAGGGTAGGGGCAGGGCCAACGCAACAAGTTCTGCTTAGCGGGGCTCTTTCCTTGTGACTCCTTCCATTCAAAAAGTTCGGGCAAATTTTATAAAGAAAAATAGAAAATAATGTTATTGATATGGCAAAGCAAACTGCCTAGACATCAACTGCTCAACGATCTATTTTATTTTAATTTGCAAATGATATATGAAACTTTTTGACTGTCTCCTTCGTCATTCGTGTGCCTGGCGTCATTAGCCGTTTTCACGACGGCCATCTGGTACACATTTGGTGCACATTTGGTGCAGATTAGGTGCAGATTTTGTCAAATTAGGTTCAGTGTATCTCTTAGTAGCTATCAGCTAGGTTTGCACTAATTGCTTATATGCCTGCTTTGCCATATTATCAGAGTATCATCGATTAAAACACTGAAATAGGTTCATAAAAGCCGTTTTCACGACGGGCTATCCGGCAAATGCACCTGATTTGACCAAATCTGCACCTAATTTCTTTTACAGCAAATATCTTCATTTTATGAATTTATTTCAGTGTTTTACTCGATGATGCTCTCTGATAATATGACAAAGCAGGTATATAAGCAATTAGTGCAACCCTAGCTGATAGCTGCTAAGAGACACACAGACACTGAACCTGATTTGACCAAATCTGCACCTGATCTGCACCAGATGTGCACCAAATGTGTACCAGATGGCCGTCGTGAAAACGGCTAAAATGAAGATGTTTACTGCAAAAGAGATTAGGTGCAGATTTGGTCAAATTAGGTGCATTCGCCGGCTAGCCCGTCGTGAAAACGGCTATTATCTGCTTGGATTCGACGATTGAGCACGGTGGCCTTATCCCGGTCATGACCTGACTACAGGACCACGTCGCGCTTTCTGATTGGTTGGTATGACGGCAGCGCAGGTTCTGATTGGCTGGTATAATCACACCGCAGGCTCGGATTGGCTTGCATGGTGACACCACACGCTCCGATAGGTTGGCTATGGCGTGTAATGAAATTAATTCACTGTGGCCGAGCCAGGAAACAACTGGACAGCTAAGATCAGTCAAAGGCACCGGTCAAAGTTATTTCATTGGCAAACACACCGTCCTCATAATTGGTGTTTGGCTTAACTTCTTCGGTCACATGTGTCGGATATTCCGTTCTGATCATCGGATCTTTTTCATCAGCGATAAACCCCATGAAGGGCAATGAATCGCCTGGATTTTCCGTGTTCGACACTGGTGAAGTGTTCTCGCCGTCACCTTGGTAAGGCGACTGCCTATCAAAGAAGAGGTTGGTCGGCGCGTCGGTCTCAGGTGCTTGAAGGGCAGTGGACAATATGGATTGAGGAGATTCAGTGGAGGATCCTAGTTCTGTGAGGGATGATGCTTGGACGGCATCTGCGCTTCCATCGGACCACGCGTCTGCCGACGACGGTGTTGATTTAGGGAACCAATCCGATTGAATTGGCGTTTTGTGTTCAGTGACTAGGAATTCAGTGTAGAGTTCCTCAGTCCCGTGGACTGACCCCTCAGTCCCGTGGACTGACCCCTCAGATATGGTGGAAGCTGTTGTCTGACCGTTGTCTGGTGTGTTCATATGAATGCTGTCCACGAGAGATGAAATTGTTTCTGGTGGAGATGCCGACAACAATTGTGTTAGCCGCTGGTCATTAGACTCTGAGTCACTAAAAACACCGTCAGATAAGTCGCTATTGAAGTTCCAAGCAGGGTCGTTTACTGTGGTTTCCATTGTGCTCATGCCAATGCCATGTGAAGGATCAGTTCCTGACGCCGTGGTCTCTTGTCCGCCCCATGCAGATGGTAAATAATCAGTGGGAGCAGTGGATGAAAGACTAATGGCAAGGCTGGAGCGTTCAGTGCTTAGAAAAACGCTGCTTTCTTTACTGTTCGTGGTTTCTGGAGGGCTGTCAGCTGTGGAGAAAGGCTTTGTAGATGAGCTGTCTGGATAATTGGCAGTTACGCTGTTCAAGGGACTGGTAGCTAGGGTATCTGGACCAGTAGTACGTTCGCTGTTGGTAGATGCAGTTTGAAGCTGTTGGGTAGATGCTGTGCTAAGGGGCTTGCTAGATGTGGCATCAGTAGTTGCAGTCATGGTGTCAGAACGATGCGTAGACGTTCGCTCTGTGGGATTGGACGACATGCTGTCTGAAGCAGTAATGGACGTATCGTGAAGGTATTCTGGCGTTACGGTCTGAGAGGACTTGTCGACTTTGCCTTCGCCCTTTTTCTTTATGGTGCGCTCTGTGGTTTGACCGGATGAAAGAGCGGTAGAGGTGATATGAGACGGAATGGTGGAGACGGTAGGCGAATCGTCGGAAGAGGCGAGAGATAGTGTTTGGTTGAAGTTGATTGACGAAGACGTATTTTGGTAGGTGGTGCTGGACGCAGCGTTTTCGCTGTGAACGCTGACGCTCAGTTTTATCATCTCTGTAATATTGGAGAGCATGTTGTATTGCGGGTGGGTGGCTGTACTGCTAGTCGGACTGGTTGAATCATCGGTAGCAGATATGGCAGTAATGCTGCCAGAAGAAGTGGAAGTTGTGCTAGTGCTGTCAGTAAAGCTCGTAGACGTGTCTGGGGAAGGAGTGTAAGAAGTGTCAGTTGGTGTTTGGTTGAGGTTATCGCTAGTTGATTCAGCAGAAGCAGCACCAGTGGGAGTGAGCGATGTAACAAGCTCATAATTGGTCTGTGTCGTGTCATATGGATCTCCGGTGGTTGGGGCAGAAGTGTCAGATTGGATGTACGACTGGCCGTCTGTGACCCCTGAAGGGTCAGTAGTTGCTCTGTCAATTGATTTGGCAGTTGTAGTAGTGTGGGACTTGGCAGACGTCCTGGCACTGGGATCGACGGACGTTTCAAAAAGTGGGAGGGTTTCGGTGAAGCTTTCGCTGACCAGGACAGAAGGGGAGTGACCTTCTGTGGGTATGGCTGGCATGGAAGGGGCTGAACCCACTTCGGAAGAGTCCCCTCCCGTGTTTACGGAAGAGGGTTGAGACGTGTCCCAAGCTTCACCGCTTGGAGAGCTCGTCGAAGCATCAATCTGATAATCGATACCAGCATAGTCATCATTCCCCAGACCCTCGACTGTGACGATGTCGGGCTCAGTGCTGCTACCTGAAGGAGCTGCGGTACTTGTGGCGTGTTCTGCGCTGGCCGGTGGCGGGGCCGGGGGAGCGCAGCGCGGGTCGTCTGTGTCCCCGCACACGCACACCTCGCGGTACTGGTGGCACATGCTGCCGCTGAGCCCGCCCGAACACTCGTCATCGGAGGAGCAAAAGTCGCCCGGCAGCGCTGTGGGGGAGACGAAAATGTGTACAACTACGAGTACAGCGGTCAGTGGTCACTCATACGAAGTTTCTTCCGGCTGCATGAAATAACATATTAAAAACCGGATGACAATGCTGATATGCTGACATTTTCGTCTTGCTCTCAAGCTTGCTGAATTGCGGCATGTAACGCGTTCGACTGCAAAACCATTTTGCCTAAAATCATGCACCTTTTAATAGTTCTAAAACTAAAGAACAATTAGGTGATTGCCAGTTCGGAATTGTGTCTGAATAGTTTGACCCTTTCGATAGGCTTAGAACCTAGAGCTTGCCCTCTTACTTACCGACGTGGAGTCTGTATTTGTGCATCATCTGTCCCAGCTCCAACTGCTCGTCATCTGCCGGGACCACGGGTCGTCCTCGCCTTCTGAACAGGCGACAGACCATCTCGGGCTCCGTGATGAAGCTCAGACAGCGGGGGTTAGCTGCGCAGGAGAGGTGACAGAGACCTGCCGCAGGGATCAGTGAGTGATGAGTGACTTTGAACATCGCATCTTTATTTGTTGATGTTAGTTTACTAACTTTTAACATATAACTCACACATCTTTATTGTCCTCGAGCACTTGTTTTCTCATTGCTCATATATGCATAATGTATATTGTATAAGGCTCGGCCCGATTTGGGTCAAGCGTGGCATTCCGTGTCCGGTCTGATGTTTCTTTAATTAGCCGATGCCTACATATGACCTAGCTACCAGTAAAACGCCTTTTGGGCGAAGAACGAGCGAGCGAGATAGTGAGCCCTGCACGTGCAGAAGGGCGAGAGGGTGCTTCCAACGGGCTTGTGCAAAGCACCCTTCTAACCGGTCGCTAGCGGTGTGCCAAATTTGAACGCAATCGGCCCAGCCGTTCCTGAGATCTGGAAGCGGCATTCTGCACGTGCGCACGTGCAAACGGGGTCCAAAATGACTTTTGCACGGCACCCTACTAACTGGTCCCCAACCGTGTACCAAATTTGAGCGCAATCGGCCCAGCCGTTCTTGAGATCTGGAAACGCCCCCTGCACGTGCGCACGTGCAGTAGCACCCTAACCGCAACACATGGGAATGCATTGCCTGGTGGGTGCCTACCTGTATGCCAAGTTTCAGCGAAATCGCCCCAGTAATTACCGAGTTATTGAAATGGGAACAAATTTGGCACCTCTTCTTTTTGTATTTTGCACGTGCAGTGGGGGTCACTCACATATATCAAGAGTATCTGACCTTTGGTAGAAGGGATGCAGCTACCCTACGAAAATTACTGAGACAATCGCCCAAGCGGCTGCTGAGATATGAGCTTCTCAAAATCACTACTTTTGCAAAACAACTTGAACACCCTTGACTTTTCACGTGGCACGTGCCACGACGGTCACTGAGATGTACCAAAAGTAGTCAATTACGGGGTAGAAGGGATGGGGCTACCCAACAAAAAAGACCGCAGGCCAATCGGTCCAGCGGTTGCTGAGATATAAGCCTCTCAAAAGCGTTACAGGCCGGGCCGGGCCGGGCCGCTCATACTGAGATTTTTCCGTTATATTGAAAAGACTCACTTCGCTCGCTGCGCTCGCTCGCTCGTAATCACATCATTTAGCTCATAAGGTACTCACTTGGGGGCAAGCTTCTAAAGACAGCCATCTGCTCAGCGAACATCTGTGTAACATCAGTGAGCATTTGGACACTCTCAAACTTCATCATAGCTTCGGGAATAGCCCCGGGTTGATCTGAATCCAGCCTTACGACACTGGAATCGGTGGCATAGATGTTTGTCCCCTGTTGATGAGTCCATGACTGGACAACTCGGAACCTCAGCAGCATCAGCAGCAGTAGCAATAGCAGCAGCGGCAGCACATCAACCAGCACGGGCGACGCCATCTGTCGGTGATTGAACACGAGAGAGAAGCTCCGCTGAGATCTTTGATTCAAATACGAAACAAACCCAGTGAAATTAAGAGAACGCGATGGTAAACATTATTCAGTGAGATATAACAGAAAGATATCTTGAAGGTATAAAAATAGCTACAAAACCCAGCTTATGCGCATAAGACTAGAAACAATATCAAGATGCGATGAATAAATGGCAAAGATATACAATCACTCTTCGGGTGAACGTTTACCGGGCAGAATCATATTTTGACGGGACAAAAACTCGCAGTCTAAGTAATATTCAGTGTTCACAGTATTCCACAACATATGCCCGACAACTTACGCTGGTTGATTCGTGTCGGCTACGCAGCCGTCAGTTGGCTGACTGAAGCCATATATACTGCGACTTGTGGTCGATGGGCCACTGAGTGACAAAGAAAAACAGCCATTTCATCGGGAGCTTGGATTGCAGTTGGACTGAAAACTTCAGAGAGCTTAAGTGGAGCGTGGTGTATGGAAAAGAAAACTTAGGTGGAGGTGAAAGCAGTTAAAGAAAATAGAACAGGAACTGCTTGCGGAAAGGTTGAACGAACATTAATTGTGGAAAGTCATGCACAATACACACAATTTCAGGTAGACGATGGCAAGGAAGAGCAATACGGTGCCAGAAGTTTAGTAGAAGTGACTTCTTGACCTACAATCATAAAGTACATTCGAAAACAGCTCATTAAATAACCGAACATTGAACTTAGATTGCATCTAACGGATACGTGCAAGACTGCTATACATAAGCGTTGTTTCCGATGTGCACCATCTCAAGCTTCAATTTACCTTGCCACGCAATAAGCATGTTTTGTTGGTAATGTTATTTGGTGTATAGCGTGGCTACACCCCACTTACCTACGTTGCCCCTTTTTTAAACAAACCTTCGTACATACAAAATTGACAGCTTTGATGCGAATTTTGCCAGCGGCTTGTCAGCCAACGAAGTGCGTAGACAAACTGGAGTAATTAGATCGTGTCCTAGACCGTTAGGGCCGCGTTGCATCTCTCATTATCAAAAGATTTCGTTATTTTCTATTTCACTATCTTCTATCGCCTGCAGCTTACAAGTCGTTGATTATCTGCGATCTCTAACACCTGCTCCTGTCGCAAACTGTCGCTATACACGGGCCACTGAAGGTTGTCTGGACAGGGCCCGTGCGTTCAGGCGGGCCGAACAGTAAACCACTGACCATTGCATGCTCTGTGGTTTCTGTTGGACGGGTCAGACCGTGACCTATACCGTGGGGGTGTCCGCTCGCCGTATAAAAGGTGTCGGACCGTGGTAGTCGGCACCAGTTGCCCTGCGGCCTGCACACTCGTCCAACCAACCAACCAACCAACCAACCAACATGAAGGTGAGAAAAATATCATATTTTCAAACCACAATGCTAATTTTCAGCTGATACTTAATTGTGCACTAGTGCAGCCAATGCCGCCTTTCGCGGTGACCAACATCATTTGCTTTGTCATTTTTGTTAATTACCATAAAAAGTCAACAGATCGGGTGAAAAACTGACTTACAATTATGCTTGTGTTTCAGGTGTTCCTCGTTGCCGCCGTGCTGGCCGTGGCCGCCGCCGATTCTCCGGCTCCGTACCACCCGACTCCGGCTCCGTACCACCCGGCTCCGGCCTACAAGCCGGCTCCCTACCACCCGCAGACCCAGTACAAGGAGGAGGCCAGGCCGTTCGCCTTCGAATACGCCGTCAACGACCACTACACCGGCACCAACTTCGCCCGCAACGAGCAGAGCGACGGTCACAACGTGCAGGGCTACTACTCGGTGGTTCTGCCCGACGGCCGTACCCAGCACGTCAAGTACACGGCTGACCACTACGGTGGATACAACGCCGAGGTCACCTACGACGGACATGCCGCCTACCCCGAGCAGCACGCTGCCCCTGCCTACAAGGCAGCTCCTCACCACTCTACGCCTGCCCATAACACTGCCCACCACTAAAACAACGTCTTGATCTTACTGTGTCTGATTGAAGCCGTGTCACCGTACTCATATGTTCCGTTAGGTGTTAACTTATTGGAATACATTTATGGTAATTTGTATGGTCTTGTACCATCGATTATGTCCGCGACTCTGCGATAAGAAGCACGCAGAGGGAACAGCAATGGTTACGAGGATGAGTCGGTGAACACCCTGCTCAGAGAGTCACGGCAAAAGTCAGAAGCGCAGCAACAACTGTTGTGCCGTGTTTGAAGGTTTTGCTGCTGTCTCTACCAGTGAGCGAGGCTTGCTTTGCTCTGAGCCTCTGGGTGGCTGCTGTTTTCATTGCTCCACAACCGGCTCTCCTAAATTATTGTCTCCAGTTAGTCTAGAGCAGAACGAACCCAAGCGGATGGGAGGTGAAGAGCGCCAACGGTCCATTATTTTCCATGCATGCTTATTTAACTTATTTAACATGCATGCTTATTTATTAGTCCTTTCTATCTGGGTGCATTTAACAAAATATCATTAGAAGGGGGCTGGTTTCGCGCCACTCCGTCACCCCTAACGGTTGCAAGTGTTCACTGTAGTGATTTTTGTGTTGTTGGGTTAGGCCCTTTCGGTCTGACGAGACCATTTCAGATCCGGAAGAATGATAGGAATTAGGGGGGAGACATTGGTCTGGGCAGGCACCCTAGTGAGTCACCGGGGCTGAGCCCGTCCCGAAAGACAGGCCGACCAGCCCCAAGGTACTCACTGCACCCGGCTACGGGGTGCGCTCCCTCGGGAGCAGCGATGCCGCTCCAAGGGAGCAGCCCGCATGAGATAAAGTTGCCTGTCCACTGTCCAGCCCGGAGGGGGTTGCGGCGTGGAGGAGAAGAATTGCAGTATCCTGAGGATAGAAGTACGGAACGGTGTGCACTGTGTCTTGGGTGTACCTAAAATATAAATAATTGCTCAGCACCGCTCTGTAGAAGCGTTAGTTCATCAAGAACTGCCAGGTGGCGCACAGGTTCAGGGCGGCTCAGTGCTGGTAGCTGGCCATTGGCCATAGATGTCGCTGTAGACGGCTGGTGGACCCACTGTCCGTCACTGAGTTCGATCAATTTTTATGAGTTATGACAGACTGTTTTTATTCACTAAAGTCCGTTAACCATTTATATTGTTTGGTAGTGTAGTTTTTGACTAACAGTTAATTGTTTTTAATTTATTTATTAAGTGAGTGCTGAATGAATTTGAATGTAATGTTTCACACTATGTTTCATCAAAATGTAATGTTTCATTAAAAATGCGTTTTTAAATTTTTATTTTAGCCACTGTTGATGAGTGCCGCATCTTACAATGTCTGCATAGCATATCAAGGCGCCAGAGGTCTGAATGTCAAAGCGTGCCTTGTTGGGCTAGGCGCGATGCGGCGGAGGAATCTCAATACGAATACTTTCGTTTTAGACTTTCTACTGCTCAACCATGGGAGCCCCTGGCCACAGGGGCGGCGAAAATAGCAGCCAGCGCTGCAATCGCCTCCATGGCGCTCTAATCGCCTCAAACGCGCCAATTTTGCGTGATTTATGACCGTGACCGCCCCCACGCAGCGATGGGTGCGTTGGACGTGTGCTGCGCGCGCGGAGAAATGTGCCCAGCGGGGAGACAGGTAGGGGATAATCGGACTGGCGCACGGACAGAGGTGTGGCTTTATGATCCGAAACGGTTAACTCTCTTCTGCACAAGTTTAGCACTTTCTCTGATTTCGTAACTCCAAGATGCATACATTATTAGGTAGGCTCACGTAGGTAGGTATGCAAGCTATTTTGCTTGGTATAGGGCAAAGTACAATTGACAAACAAGGTAAATGGTTTGACCTTTTATCCAACATTTGCTGTAATAATTTGATTTTAGTCGATAAGGGATGTAAAAAGATATGATGGAAAACCGTAGCCCTAAAATGAAGTCGAATAATGAGGGATTTAACTTGATTTGCGTCATAAAAGCAGAAAAATGCGTTACATGAGATTAGGAAAAGGATTGACATAAACTTTGAGTAAAAAAAGAAGGTTCAGGTGATGACGTCAATTTATGTTTTAAAATGTTTCAAACGTTCAAACGTTTCTACATTTTTATTTTTACTTTTATTTTGCCCTAGACCGCATTGTTGAACGGGTGTTAATGGGTTCGGACTCTGTATGTCGGTTAAGCAGAGCTGATTGTGTGACACCACACACCGGGCTTCTCAAAAAAGTTGGACGATTTTATAACTAACGTATTGGAGGGTGTATCAGTGTAAGAAAACATAATTGGGTATCACCTGAAAGCCTCATCAAAGACATTTTGTTTGAGGGGATTTCGATCCTCGGCAGTCGCCTTTCTGAGCCGCGCCGAGGTCATGTTCGAGATGATTCCCTTTTTGCTCGATGCACAGTTTAGCCCGACGCAGCGCGACCTCTGCTGCAGCACGACCCACAGAAAGCTGCAGACGGCACACCGCTGACTTCACTGCATCCTTATGATCTTCGGAACTTTTTGGGTGGTCTCGGTACACCTGGGACTTGAGTTGGTCCTATAGGAAAAAGTCCGGTGGGGTTACGTTCGGAGAATTCGCCGACCACGGGCGTGTCTCGAACCTCGACATCACGCGCTGCCCGAAGCGCTCCCACAGCCCCTCCCGGTTTTCTTTAGCGGAATTGGCGTGGCACCGTCTTGCTGGAACCATTGGATCTTAAGCGTTTCCGGATCTCTGCTCACCCTGATATTGCAGAACCCTCCAAAACGTCGCCAGAGCCACCCGATATCGCTGACCATTGACAGTCTGAGTAGCGCATCACTTACACGAGTGGTGTTCGCCGTGAGCCTTTGATTGGGTTTATGGCCGCCGCTGTGTTCCTTGAATTGCGTGAACCTATTGTTAACACTTCCTCGAGCCAGAAACTTGTCAATAATGTGGAAAATTGTGTTTCAAGATGTTCCTCTCTTTGCCCTAAAGTGTTTGCGGATCTGCCGTGGTGTCGAACCGACCGACTTAGTCTGGGAAAGAATAATTTCACGAGTTTTGCTTTTGCTTGCTAAGAACACGGCTTCATTTTTTAAGCTCAAACCATGTTGTCATATAAATCTGATATAAATCTACGAAAAATTATCCTATTTTCCACGTGCATTGATTTTGCTTAAATGTTGTTAGGGGTCCTCTATTCGCAAAAGAAATCCGTCTAACGTTTTTGAGAAGCCCGGTATATGAATAAAGACCGCATAAAGTTCAAAGACCGTATGGGCTGGTCCTTCCGGATCTATGTAATGCAGCTCCGAATCTACCCCTCTAGGAGAGGTCCTGGCTCCGGCCGCCCAGCAGTAAGGTGGCAAAGCAAAGGCTGCGACAGACTTCATATATTTTTTCAGTCAAACGCACTATAACACCTAAGGAAGCCGCACACGCATCTACATATCTGAGGGCCGAAGGCTGCTTGTTCATGATCACTGATCATTGATCAGCCCCTTATCGTTTTCGCATTCTCGCTCCGTATACCACCAATCTTCTCGTACACTACCCCTCAGACCAGTCACTCGACCAGTTCTCGTACACTACCCCTCAGACCAGTCACTCGCAGCTAGCGAATCACAGCTCGCGACTCGCAGCTTCGCAGCTGGCGGCTCACAGCTCGTAGCTCACAGCTATCGTCTCGCAGCTCCCATCCCGCAGCTCGCGGGCGCGGCTGGCAGCGGGAGGCCGTTTTTGCACGCGCTCAGCCGATGCTGTGACCGCGTCCGCCCTGGACATACATCTGGTGACCCGTTTTTAGCGGCGGGCTCGTCACCGGGACCGTGCCCGTGGTTTCTCTGTGGAGTCGGGCTGATTAATGGTGTGACGTCACAGACGTGAGGTGTCACAGGAAGTGGGAGCGCGGGGGGGGGGGGGGGGGGGGGCTCGACGAAATGAAGGTTTGATGTTCAATCTTATTTGTGATCGGTTCCTTGTGTTTTATTGTCAAAAGTTGTAAAATGGCCAACCCAAACCCAGTAGGTAATTGCGGCTTCCAATGACGACTTTTAATATTGGTCGAATAGCATCTGACCTTAGAACCCATTCGGAGTTGTAAATGTTCACTTTTCACATATTGTTTTATTAATCTAGCAAAGCGGGAAGACAATCTTTTTTTGGGGGGGGGGGGGGCAAATTTAGGAAATTTCTTTATACCTATGATTCTGCGGCCATTGTTTTTCATTTATAGCTTTTGGAATAACCGCTGGATGACGGTGGACTAATTGCAAAGCTTTTATTTGTAATCCAAAATTGTTACAATGATATGGCGTTCTGTTTTTAATCCATTGGGATCCATTTTCATCCATTTTTAATCATTTTTTTTTTAATCCTCGGGGAATCTTAAACGGACAGCTGTCGTTTCATCTCATGTTGACAGCTGCCGTTAATATCTTATAGGAACCTTACCTAACAGGACAAGTGTGTATGAAAATAGTATGATTTGAATGTACTATACATATATTCATCTTAAAGTTTTTAGGAGTTTCATTTTTTATCATCCTCCTCGAATTCATAGCTGTTTGATGATAACTGCAGCTGCGCAGCTGCTGCTATTTGCTAGTAATTATCTCATCACAAGCTCCTCCTGACGGACTTCAGTTCTCCTGCTGGTTGAACCCACTCTCACCAATCTCAGAAACCACAGCCATTTACCTTTCTTTTAGCGACATCTCCCACATCCATTCGCCCGTCTCCGGCCTGAAAGGATTGATGACGAACCGTTCTCAGTGGGCCACCTGGCTCATTCGGTGTCAGTCACCGTAACGCAGCGTTGGGCCGCGCGGCGATGAATGAGCTCGAGCTGACGGAACGCTGCCCGGCGTGGGCTCGGCCTCGGAGCTCTGTCCGTGGTCCCCAGCGCGCGTCTGACCGTTACTAACCCAGTCTGGTTATACCGAGCGGCGCTACCACCCTACACGGCCCCGCACCGTCTCGCGGTGGGTGGTGGTCAGTGGGTGGTGGGTAGGCAGTGGGTGGTGGGTACTGGGTAGGT